TATATATATATAATTTACAAGAAAATGCCTTAGATAAAAAAAAATTTAAAAAATATAGCCCGGAACACTTAGGCCCGTGGGCCTGGCCCTTTTGGCCTGGGACCATGTGGTCTTAGGCCCACAGTGGGCCGGTTCCACCCGTTAGGCCCGTGAAGCCCGGGACCGTTTGGCCCGGGACCGCCAAAGCCCGGGATCTTAAGGACCGGCCCGTTTGGCCCGTTTGGCCCGGGCCCGGCCCAGAAAGCAGCCTTAGTCGTTATATTCATAATTGTAAGATTAAAAGTTTTGCTCTATCTTCTATCTCCATCTTTGATTTAATGCATGTCTGTATCAAAATAAGGCTAAGTGTAAAACTTGTGGGTCTTTGTTGGCTCATAAATTTGCTGGAGACCGTAGCAGTACGGGTACTTTGACTAGACACATAAAGACACACCCTAGAGATAAAGCTAGATATCTTCAAATGAAAGCGCAGCTAGAGGGGAGAAGTGTAGGTACTGAGGTTAACCCTAGTACCGGGTCAAATCTAGTTCAACCGGGAATAAACACTGTTACCGGTGGCATTTTATATTACGATCCAAAGATCGTGAAGAATTAGCAAAAATGGTTACTGTTATGTGCTTACCCTATAGTTTTCCTTCTAACCCTGACTTTGTGCATTATATTAGAAAAGTTTTTAATCCTACTTATAAAGGATGGCCTCGCGCAACCGTAAAGAGCGATATTTATAAATATAAACATGAATATGAACAATATTTGCGGTATTTATTTACTCATATAGATTGTCGCACTGCTATTACCACTGATATTGGTAGAAGTGGTAATGACTGTGATTATCTTACTTTCAGATGAGGAATTTGCTACACTTGCAGATGCAAAAGCCTCAATTAAAATAAATGCTCAAACAATTTATAATGCTTATCAACTTGCCTTAGATCATGCTAGACCAAATGTTCCAACTCCTACTTCGTCTAGTTCGCAATCATCTAAAAGAACTGCGGGCCTAAAAGCACTTAGTTCTTGGACGGAGTTCAGGGGTTCTCAAGGTGATAATATTGGTGATACTTCACATCTAAATGAGCTTCAAGTTTATTTGTCGCAGGGCCTTGAAAAAGAGAATCCAGACGGCACCTTTGATCTTTTGGAATGGTGGAAGGACAAAGAAAAACACTTTCCGGTTCTTTCAAGGATGGCTCGAGATATTTTATGTGTTCAAGCTTCAACAGCGGCATCAGAGAGCGCTTTCAGTCAAGCGAGACTTCAAATCGGTGATCATAGAGCGTCTACGAGGGAGAGCTTGGAAAAATCAGTACTCTTCAAAGATTGGATCCATTCGGAAAGAAGAAATTTTGGACTTGCTGAATCACAACCGGAGATAGACGAAGATTATGAAGAAATGCTAGCGGAACTTGCGGAGGATGCTGCTTCGCCCGGAAGCGGTGATGAACAAGCTTCTTTTCCGCCGCCACCAACGGAAAACCTCCGAACCTTGAAGGATTTATGAAATTTGTTAGAGATAATATGTAGACTAATATGTAACTTGTATTTTGGCACATCTTCATTAGTTTTTTTTCCTTTTAATGGTGGTATTAGCACCTTGTTGTGCTCATTCCATTGGGGGGAGGAAGACTAAGAAAGATATTACCATTTTTGTTAATGTCGTAATAATAAAAACTATAAGGCATTCTCTTGGATATTTCTTTCCAATTTTTTTTTATGTTTAAATTTGACTCTTTAGAAGATTTAAGTCACAATTCTATAATATATTTACAAGAAATTATATAAAGCAATATATATTATATAGCCTATATATATATATATATATATATATATGATACACCTACTATATATATACACCTACTATATATATGATACACCTACTATATATATCAATAGTTTCATTAGGGTCAATTGTATGAAACAACCTCCCAAATATTTCGTAGAGTCAATTGTATGAATTTAAATTGATATGATATCCCGTTTGTGATGTTTACGGCACTAAAGTACTATTTCTAAGAAATAATAGACATCATAGCGCCAAACAAATTATTAGAAAAAGAAAAGCAATGATATGACGCAATAGAATTATCATTATCATTGGAAGAGAAGAAAGAGATAATCATCAACTTGAATACGCTGTCACGTAACTACTGTCCCTTTTGTCATGTAGTTTTTTGTTCAATCTAGAGTAATACTAGTATTATTTATGTATAGCTTAACTTTATGCAAAACTTTATTGGATAAGAAATATGGCAAAAACAGAGCTAAGTTATTTGCTTTTACTTCTTCTTGTAGCAGAGCTTAGTTCACAGCCTGCGGTAGCTGGTTCACCTGTGAAGTTTCTTCCTGGATTTCAAGGAACGCTTCCTTTTAAACTGGAAACTGGGTGAGAAACTATAAATTAATAAGGCTATTTTTGTTTCCTCAACATGTTTGTAGTTTTCTTTGTGAGAATCATTATATATTAGTATGGTTTAAGTTTTGATATTAATTAGATTAAAACTGTGTTTCCAGGTATATTGGAGTAGGTGATTCAGAAGATGTGCAACTATTCTACTATTTTATTAAGTCGGAGTCTAATCCAGAATCAGACCCTATTCTACTTTGGATAACAGGAGGGCCTGGCTGCTCTGCTTTATCAGGGCTTATCTATGAGATAGGTATGCCATACGAATTTAAGTTCTATTGACGAATAGTTTAAAAAATCTTTTACTTCACTTTTACGGTGATTATGGCTAAATTTATGTGATAAACGCATTGTAATTGGTAAGTTAGTAAAAGTGATAACTTCACTGCCATGGCGGTTAAAGTTCAGCTTATTGTGACCGGTGGCAGAGCCAGAATTTTCATTAAATGGGACAAAATATAAAAATACTCCCCAAGAAGTCAAAATATATATTATTTTTGTTTTTAAATTGCCATCCTTAAGTGCATGTTGCTCCGCGCCACTGATTGTGACCAAAAAAAAAACATCTTTTGACTTTATGTTAAAGTGGATAAAATTCAGTGACCATACTGGGATTAGCCCCTCTATTTAACCAAAGAAAATAAAGATCTTAGTTTCACACTACAAGCTAAAGCGTAGACTTTGTGTTGTGATCATTGACAACTTAAAGTAGAACACCCCAGAAAAGTGTTACTTGAAATGAATCACCAAAGTTTCTGGCTTTCTACAAGCCATCTAAGGAAGTATGTCTGCCATCTTGGTTTAATGTGTCTTCAAACGGGATTTCACGATTTATCACTTGAAGCGTGAACACACAACTCTTCAATCACGTGAGCCTTGAATTTCACATCGTCTCGTTGAAATCTCTACCATCACCACGATCATGATTTATGAACATTCCATGGTCTTCTACTGTGTTACCCAAATAATATTCGGAAATAATAATTTCGTGTGGACGAAATTTTCTAGGAAAATATGGCGGGAATTCGGCCACCATGTCTTACTCCATCTAGGTGGAAAACCTTATGTATTTATAGCACAAGTTTTAGGGGTTATAAAACCCTTTTCCAAAACTTGTTGGGTTTTCTTTTCCACCAGAAAGATTCCTTTATTTCCTATTGTTTAGGCACAGCGGGGACCACCGAATTTAATTAACAAGGCTCCAATTATGGTTAATTTCTAATTTTCGAAATTAATATCTACCATAATTAATTACGAATTATTTCACTAAAAATTCGTAATTGCACTCCTTATTCAATTTCGAAATTCATTCATTAAATCTTATTTAACTCCCCATGTTAAGATTCAGATACTAATCAATTAAATTAAATTACTGACGATTTAATTTATTGACTATTTCTTTTAGACTTTCGCTTAACTTATTTCATGTGTCGGATACAAAATCCACCGGCCGGGTTTACACATGAAAACTTATAAGCTTTGTCGAACATCTTGCAAGCATTTTAAAATGGCTTCTTATTTACACAATTTGGGTACTCAGATTTCCCACAAATGTGATTCAACACTAGCAGCACACACAAATGCACTCTCAATCAATTTTCCTCACCCTATTTTCACACAAATCAGAGGGGAATGGGGAACATAGTGTCATGCCCCAACCTCGGGAGGCGCGATCGGCGCTCAATCGAGTGACCCCAATTGAGCAAGCCTTACCACACACTACATACCCAACTCCATACGAATAAGGGGACCATGCTTTCATTTATTCAACAAAGGAAGATAGTATATTCGACATTTTTAGTTCATTTTAGATCACAACATTAAACCGTAGATAAGTTAGTTTCCAAGGTTTTCATTGTGAACACCTAATTTTTGACCACACCCCTAATCCTATATTACTTTAGTGTAAATATTTGTTTTAGGTCTAATCTTAATATTTTAAACTTTTGT